ACTAGGTAATCAGCGTTATTGCCCTAAACGAAGTGTCATCTTTCACGAGCGCTAATCTGTCATCCGCTTCACGTCCATTTCTTTCTACAAATGTCCAGAACAATTTAGTGGATTAATTGCGTTCGCACAAAGATGGCCGAGTAGATGAGAGAGGTTATTGGCCTGCGCAGTGAGTGGAGAGACTTCGTCGCATAAAAGACTGCCTTTAAAGATTGGTGCTGCAAATAAATTTTAAACATTTATTTTGTAAAGAAAAAAATTGTTCGTCATGGCAACAGAAACCTTGATGCACAACAGGTGGGACATTCGAAAGGCAACTTGGTTTACAAGCTCTTTGGAGAGAAAACACAATCGCCCTCTGGTGAGGTCTATTATTTGCATCTTCTCCATTCAGTTGGTGGTGGGAGCATTTTTGAAACTCCCAAAATTAAACATTTAAGCACATAGCTAGGCACACTATTAAGTTTCCGTAGGCACAAAATTTTTTTTGCTGTTCTTAACGCTGTTAGCTTAAGGAAATCTTGGCTGAAGAAGTCAACTTTTCTACATTACTAACTTGTCAATCAAGTCCACATGGCTAAATTGGATCTGAAATCAACCGTAAAATTTTTCTTTGCCGGCATATGTCCCCTGTGCTCGAAGTTTACTGGTCCGGAGAATTTTAATTGAAAAAATGTTTGCCTTATTTGAAGGAAAAAAGTCCCACGAGTAGGCCAAATAGAGTGCTATCCAATCATTTTGATCACTTGGTTCATGAGGCGCGTTGGTACAGCAATAAATACACATTGTCCTGCTAATCCACTGCTAATCTTGGAATGAAGTAAAAACCAGAAGTGCGCACTTACGGTGGCACTAAGTAGGCGGAAAGCAGAGACCCACAAACAGGCGCGATTAGCCGTCAGTGCATACGCACCGCATGCGCTCTTCACCTGATTGGTTTATGAGGGCACGTGAGCAGCCAATGAGCGTTGAGAGCTGTCGTCGCAAGCCCAGTGGTGCCTTGACGAATTGCCATCGTCACCGTGAGTGCGGACGTGTGTGCATGACACGCAAGCGGATGAAGGGGGGAGACGTGGAAGTGGGTGGAGTGGGGGAGGTATGGGACGGAATTTCACTCCTTCTCTGGCTGTATGACCAACGAGACGATGTCTGCGAAGGCCTCCGCTTTCTCTATTGATGCCATTATGACTGCGACACCCACTAGCGCCTCTGTGAAATCTACGCCGTCTCAACAGAGCCCTGGTGAGTTTCTGTTTCTATTTAGAAGGCAATGCGTTAGAAATTTCAATTATAATAATTTGCCGTATAATTGATTTGTTTTTAGGTACCAACTGAAAGAATTCCCTTTTTAATTCGAGAATTAGTTTCGTATAATTAATATGAGGATAGTGGAGAAAATGGCGAATTTCGCTGTTATAAAAGCGCACATGAGTGTCGTTTTGCAGCCATAGTGTTTCCAAAACGTTTTAAATGAAAGGAGATCAACTATGACCCACAGTTAATTAATTGTAGTGCCATTTTGAATCACGTCCTCAAAG